TGGGCTACCAAGTGAGTTCCAGGAAAGGCGCAAAGTTACACAGAGAAACCCTGTTTCGAAAAACCAAAAAAAAATAAAAAAATAAAAATTAAATTTAGAATCATTACTGTTATTTAAACATTAATGCACCAGCATAGTAATATGAGAATACATCAAAAGTTAGCTGCTCCAAACTGGGTTTATGTCTGAGTTCTCATAAATACAGCTTAGCCACAGGCAGTAGACAAGAAGCAGCACCCAGGTCTCAGGTGACTGAGAATAGACTAATAGTACCTTTTAATTGTAAAGTTGTTACCTAAGTCATGCTTAAAATATAGAAAAGCACAGGGAACAATAGAACAAATACACATTAACTAAATCAATTTTGGAATGATATATTTTGCCATTAGTTTCTTCATTTACTCTTTTAGATATAACTGTAATCCTTTTATTTTCAAAATTTATACTCAGTAAAATATACTAATATTGTACAACTCTGAGTGTCAAACATATGTAGCTTTATGTAACTACCAGTAGAAAAACAATTTCATCACCCTTTTAAATTCCTTTGTGCTGGCCTTTTGTAGTCAGGCCTCCACATCTCTCAAATCTTTGTTAAAATTGATAACTGTAATCGGCTCTTCTCCAAAGCACGTAAAGTGTTTCATTGAAAACACAATCTCTCCAGTTGAGAGGTAGCTCAGTTGGTAAAGCGCTGGTCTTGAAAGCATGAAGACCTTGCAAACAGAAATTTACCAAAGCCTATGTAAGAAAATCAAGGCATAATGATGGCACCTGCTTGTAACCCCAGTGCTGGGCAGGCAGAGACAGGTGGATTGCTGGAGATACTGGTCAGTAGTATTGCTGAAGTTGTGAATGCCAGGCCCATGAGAGACCCTTCTCCTACTGTTCCTTGCTGTATCTCTTGCCTTATTTCTTAGAAATCTAATTAAATATAACACATATAAACTACAAAACTTTTAACATGCTTTTGAAAAACTTTTGCATTGAGATATAAATTATATTGAATGAACTATGTAGAACGCACACACACACACACACACACACACACACACACACACACACACACACAAAGGACAGCACCTGAGGAACAATTCCTAAGGTTGTACTCTGGTCTCTACATACTCACTGGACATGTGCTCTGTACTCAACCCCACACAAATACTCTGCACATACTGCACACACACACACACAGACACACACACTCACACAAACTCATTCTATGCTGAGATACAAGATATCTAGTGGTTCAGAATTCTACTGAAATTTAACTTAATATTTTTACATTGAAATGTTAATATCTGAATTCAAAGGCACCATTCAAAACACATTTACAAATATTTTTTAAAATGAAAAAACCCAAATGTATTGTTTCTAATTAAGATGCTTTTGAGTATTTAATCAAATTTAGATGTAGGCTTTCTAATTTCATTTCACTCTAATACTGAATATAAATTTATTTACTTAAAAGAAGGGGCTCCACCCATTTATCTTTAATGGGCTGAGATATTGCAGGAAGCAATTACAGGATTCTAAAAGCAGAATTTGCTCATTGTTTGAGGTCACAATACTGAATGTGTTAAGCTGTATTCCTTTGGAGGGATGATGAATACGTGCTGGCAAGCTTTACTTTCAATAAACCTTTTAAAAGAACTTGGCTTTCCTTGCTGGATATTTTTGCTAAAGAATTTCCAGGGCAACTTTGACCAAAGTAGAATATAAATTTAGAAGTATCAGCTACCAAAACCTTTAATATCATTTCAGGGCACTGAGGTTAACTTAGAAAGTAGTTATTCAAAGCCTTGAGCATTCCTAAAACATAGTTATTCTTAGGGACTCTAAACTGCATGCCATTTTCCTAAGATCATTTTTGTATTTGTCAAGAAAATATTTTAGAACGTACAATCATTCATATGTTTAATAGTGTGGCTTGTTGTGGGTATACCTATGCAGTATGTTCCACAGCTCACTTCAAGTGTATTTCTGCCCTTTAAGGCTTTTATTTTAATAAATAAAATGATTTTTCCTTTAAACAAAAATCCTAGTGCTTTATGTGGGGTACCTCTTTAGGAGTTGTTGGCCAAGGAGATTCCAGATGATCCCACCAAATAAAAACTATTGTCATTTATTTTGGTTGCCCATGACTAGGTGGTAATGACACTATTGCAGAAGATACCACATAGCCTGGTTGCAAGAAAAGGCAAGGTAGAACTCTGCTGGCTAGCTTACATAGAGATAGATAGAAGTTGCTTTACAGG